AATGGTCTCTATGGCTACAATTGAGCCAGTCACAAGAACAACAACACTCGCTTATTTGGCTTGAACATAAAATGTCCCCACACAGGAGCTTTAGACCATAAGTTAATGTCGTAAACATGATCAAGGTCATATCTAACAATACATGTATTATGGAATGATCCTAACAGTTCTAATAGTGAACATATAACTGACAGTTAAAAGTGGTAACCCCGTAGTGTAAGGTGTCTGTGTTTTAGCCTGGTATTTAGGTCACGCTGTTGTATGTGGATGCCAATCCTGCCGGGGCATATGGAGGGCACGGGCTGGGTGGTGTCAGGGCGCCAAGAAGGAAACCATAAACCTTCATTGTGATGTCCAAAGAAGGCCGTGGAGTCATGGATGGGTGAGGGGTGTGATGGAGGTTATGAGGATCAGATGTGGTTTCATAATCTCATTTATAAATAATATGACTAGTACAGTAGACATGAACATAGTTCATCCCATGTGGTTCAGTAGAGTTCAAATCCCCTCTAAAGGATGTGTTAAAAATGCTGTAAAATTGCCCTATGGTGAGGAATAAACTATCCATATTCTCAGAAACCCTTGGTGGAAAAAGCATTATATTCTGACTTAATTCAAGTGCTTGCCAAAGATTTTTCAGTATGAAGTTACGGTGGTGAGAATCAAGCAAGTCAAGTCGAGTCCCTGGCAAGTGACATGTTAAGTTGTATGACATTCTGATGATCCACCCACATTTAAACTTTCTCAAAGTAGGTGCTGACTGTACCTACATTGACAACTGAATCAAAACATATTTGGACAAGCCTAACCAACTATGCTTTGTTGTTTTTTTGGGAAATTCTTGTATACTATTTTTTTTTTTAGTCCCTTTTCTTTTCTTTTTAGAAATACTATACTATGTTGTTTTTTTCTCCCATTTTTGACATAACATACTTTATTGTTTTTTTCTGATATTTTTGACATAGTATACAATGTGTTTTTTACTAAAATCATTAGATTATCATTAGATTTTTAGTATGTCGACTATTCTTTGTCGTTTTTGTAGGTATTTTCAACATACTATACTATGTCGTTTTTCGGTTATTTTAGACATATAAGACAGTAGAGTAGAGTAGAAGGAAAAAGGATAATTAAATGATAATACTCAAGTAAATTACAAGCACATTAAATGTGCCCGGCTAGCTGTAACGCAGGCAAAAGGTCACATGTTTCATACACACAATGCAGTTGTTGCGGTTCAAGCCACATGCGGTTCCGATCAAATTTTGAATTATCCTCCCATTGTTGCCACACTGCCATCAGCCTCATTTTTGGACCTACTCTGATGCTCATTTATGAGGTTGGCAGTGCTAACATGCCTAATAACATGGCAGTAAACAGCAGCTTGGCCGGCAGTGTGTTCTCTTCCGTCAATCACTCCCGCTCACCTGATCAGCCTCCAGCGCTATTGGTCCACTTCCACACACGCCACAACAGTGCCAGCACCATTACCCGCTTAAACAATGACCCCTTGTTCGCTAACAGTCGCCCATTGGAGCTGATTAAACTTTTAAATGTCATTTAATAGAAGCGTAATGTTGCTCCGATGCGTCTGTCAGCAGCTTCAGGGGCGTAAAAGGATACCTGTTCACCCTCCCGGTGTGTCACACAGCACGCTTAATTCCTCAGCTGGATAGTCATCACCCTTAGTGTGGGATGTGGTGATGAGAGTGAATGTGACCTGGACTTAAAAGGGACACGAGGGAGCAGCACCTCTGAACCTCTACCTCTTTGTTTGACCCTCTCAAGGAGCTCATGTTATACAGCGAGGGAGAAAGGGAGACATTTTCGTTCCACACAATGTCAATGACAAACAAAGGCTTCTCTGTTCAGGGCTTTGTTTGTTTGGCAACCGTTAGCTGGGACTGATAAAGGCATTTGTCCCACACTAGTATTAGATTATGGGTATTTTTATGCAACTTCACATTCTTGGGAAATTCCAGTGGTCTGCCTTCGTCATCATTCCGTAGCAGGGTCACATTTTCTCAGCATGTTCCCCCGAGTTAGCTGTTAATTTGACTGTAGCCCAGCTGTAGCACTGAGTAGCATGCTCGGCCCCTGTTTGAAGCTGCCAGAAACACAGATTTACTCCAGACCCCTCTGATGTTCTGCACTACTTCCTGAACGTTGACCGGATCTCATTAAGCTGTTCCCAAAAATTGAAGTTGATGTTTGGGCTGCTGGTGTGACCTGCCCTGACACCAGATGTTCTCATGACCTTTAAGTGATGTAATTCCACTGTGCGATCGCAGCTCACATCTTAAATAGCACTTTGACTGCCTCCTTGATGGAAAACACAGATGAACATATATTTAGTTCGGTAGGCTTTGTGCTGTTGCTTTTATTACAATTAAAATATAAAAAAGGAAGCATCAGTTTTGTTGTAGTAGCCCTTAGGACCTTTAATAAGTGACCATATCCGTTTGCAAGTGCGTTTTTAAAAAAAGCAAAGGATCACACGGGCATGCGTGCGTGCGCATTCATTACATTGTGCGGCTGCATGCGAGTTCTTTGAAGCAATGTGTCGACGACATGGGGGGGAGCTTGATTGACAGCGAAAAAGCGGGTGCCTAGCCGTGCCTGTGGTCAGGGCAGGCTGTGGGAGATGGAGGGTGTTAAGTCGTCAGTATGAGGCATATGTCAGAGATCAGTGCTGGATCGTGGAGATCACTGAGATGAGAACGGTGGAAGAGCGCCGGGGGTCGAGAGAGACAGAGATTACTGGGGGCTTGATGCCTTGACCACAGGCAGAATAACTGCTCATGACACACAAACACACACACATTCACATCTTCCTCGCAATACGTGGATACACATGCCGAGCCCTCTAGAGGCTGCATGCAAAGCCCCGTGTTAATAAGATTGTCTTCCTCTCCGGGTGGAAGTGTGCGGCTCCTTTGTCTCCAGAATAATGACAGGGGGAATAAGAGCCTGGCTCTTGAACCTCCTTGAGCTTATAAGTGTCTGCAACTGAAGGAAAACAGAGTGGAAGGGATTAAAGTCAGACAAGTAGATGTGCTGTGATAATGTCTGTACGGCTCTCCTGACTGCCGTCCCAAACAAAACACTTCAGTGATGTCAATACGTGTGGAAGCTAGCTCACAAGATAAGAACAACTCTCTGCCAATGCTAGAAAACAGAATGAACCTGTTACCTGGCGTTCCTTATAACCTCTGGGTAAAAGGGCCAAACTAATGTTTTCTAGGTTGAAACCAGCATCTTAATATCACTACAAACACAACCCTAGCTATCTCTTTTTCACGCTATGAGCTGTACGCAGCTAGTGGGCAGCAAACTGTTGACTTTCTGACATATTTTCATATCATGAAGTCAATGTCTTGAGCATGTTAGCAAACAGTTGCTTATTAATGCATTCAGCAGACCGTAGTTTAGCCTGAAATACTGGATTTTTTTGTCGGAACATTGGATTAATTCTATGTTATTGCATTATTGGAATCATCCACCAGTTCTTGGTAACTAAATACCACCAAAGGCTTTTTTTGCGCTAGCATTCACACTGCTTATACGAATGCTTTAGTGACGTAATCTAGCTTCAATTGATGAGTCAAATTGTTGATGTATTTACGCCATTAAAGGTTTTGACTTCATTGGTGGTTTATTTGTTCCTGCTTTCTTCCATTTTCTACATGTGTTGTGTGTTGTTTACTGTTTTAAAAAATTAGTGGTTCCTGGGGCTCCAGTGGGCGACCAATCAACATACAATTGCTCTACTCAGGGTTCCTGTTATGCTGGGAGAATAGCTTCTCTGAAATAGGAGATAATAAATTCCCTGGAAATGACTTTCTAAGAACCACCAACCTTCATGCAGTGTGGACACAATAAGAAAGGGGGTTCTTAGAACTGGGCACTTAGAATCAATCAACAGTTCATCCAGTCTGTAATTGGCAAAAGTCATCGAACTGATTTGTTATCACTAATACATCCATATTGTTATTTGCTAATGGAATGATGACAAATCCATGCTATATTATGTGCTGCTTTAGGAGATTAGTCATGCGCTAAAATCAATACAAGACGAAAATAAAGAAAGAAAGAAAGTGGGCTTTGATGATCATTGTACATATTTTCGTCCTTGGATCTGATAACGGTATCTGTATGGCCAGAATGGATTCATACAAGTCTCCACTCCCTCAACAACTGTCAAATTGGCTCGGTCACAAAATTCTGCCGCTCTTAGGCATGAGTGTCTAACTCTATGAATATGAATCAGTGCTGACAAACCATGCATGCTCAGCTAAACCCTTCTCTGAGTAAATACATGATGAAAGAAACACTGTCCAGGATCACACCAATAACAAATCTGCAATGTTTTTGCACCTACCCCTGTTCTCTGTAATCTACACCGCTATTATGTTGAGCTGATTCCTATCGTTGCTGTTCTCTGTGTCCTAACATCATTGCCTGTGTTTGTTTGTTTCGTCCAAAGAAAGACTATGCGGAGTAGGTAGCGATAAGAATAGCTGTTTTATTGTGTGCCACTGCCTTGGCCCCTAATACTGAATGTGTTATCTGAGGGTGCAGCATGCCACACTAAGCCATGTGATGCATGGCTGAGCAGCATTCCTCCTCCTGAGTGTATCGCAGGGCAGAGATAGTAGGAAGGCAAAGCAGCCTGACTGCTGACAGAGAGTGAAAGAGGAGCGAGAGCAGGAGAGAGGAGAGATGAGAGCAATACCGGGAACATGTAGTTAAGTGGAATGAAGTACCCTTTGTTGCAGATAAGATCATTCTGCTTCCCTGACCGGCGTCACTAAAGCAATTTGAGCACAACGAATGTAGCTTATTTTATCGCTGGCAGACCACAAAACCCTTCACTGATATGCAGAGAGACATTGGTCCAAGTAACAAGAGACTGAGATTTCTTTTTGTACATTCATGATTATGTTTTTTAAATAGGGTCAGGTCATGTTTGTTCTGCCATCAAGCAAACAGGATAAGAAGTTGGTGGTGGGATCAAGGAATTGTAGGAATTCAAGTCCAAACACTAGAGAATGTTGCGGAAGAAGAGGCTAAATGACGGGTCTATGGGATCTGCGGTCAGACGGTCGCCCAACTTCCAGCAAGGTTCGTAGGCCCCTGGTCCTGGGGTCTTCTGTGGAATAGACACGCACACACACAGAAACACATTCAATATATCATCACTTTTCATCCAAGAGCTATAATTGGGTCCAAAAGATCAGGTTGAATCCTACATGAACTTGTCTTCTTCTTGTTTTATCACATAGGATTATGGGAACATAGAGTAGGGCTGAGGGAACATAGACACGCTCACATCTGTGTGAGGTTAGATTTATTTTAAGGATTATGTTGTGTTAAATTGTGATGTTCTATTTTGCTAACATCTAGGTCATATCTTCCTACATTTCCATCAAAATTACAACAACATTATTATTTTATCCATTAGTACATTTTATATTTACTCGCTTGTCAAGAATTGAACTGCAATAATGCATCTGAGATTAAATAAACTGTTAACATTTTTTACATTAGTAGTTTTCATTACAAAGACGACTGAATTAGTCAAATTATAGCTTACAATAAATGACATACAGTACATTACATTTAGCTAAATGTGAAGTACCAGACTCACCGAGTGCACACTGTGGAGCCGCGGCAATGTTGATTTGAAGCTTGAAGTGATGCATTTTCCTGGTCTGGTCTGTGGATTATATTGGCATGGAGCAGGTCCCTCCTTCTAGGTTTGTCAGAGATAAGACATGTTATTGGAACTAGCTGGACAGTTGAACAGCTAGTTCAATACATACAACTTATGTTCAGCAATTAAGTTAAGGACCAACAGTTAAAGCGTTAAATATGAGCAGACGTCATGATTCAATTTAACTAACATAATTCTGTTATTGAGAAAAGTAAATACAAGCACTTCTAAATCTGAACATGGACCTGGAGTTCAAAGGACAACGTTTTTAAGCATTCGATCAACACTGACAGAGTACGGAGTCCAATCATACCAAATGTGATAGAGTTAGCGTGCACTATATTCATCGACTGTACATCGTGACCTCTAACATTTACAGAGCTAAATGAGATATACATTCTTTCACCTATGGACATATAAGCTCATGTAAACCTATTGTTATACTAATACCAAAGTCATCTGAAGGATGCACGAACAATATAAACCGGATCTATTTTCGGGTCCCATACCCATATGTTTATGACCTATGACATATCACTTGACTCCTGTCTTTATGGCCTCTGCTGGTCTCTGGTTGTGTTATGTCTCTGTCAAGAGTGAGTTTCTCTTCTTGCCTTTAACTTGTCCTCTTGTCTTGCCTACTAACACACTTACTGGTCATCACCAGCAGCGTGCCATGCAGAAATAGCATCCCCCCCCACCTAACACCCTCCTCCTCAGACATAAAACTGTGTCCTTTCTCTGAACACAGGACCAGTTTTTAATTTTTAGCTGCTCTCTGATTCTGAAAGAGGGACACAGCAAGGTGGTTTCCTTTACTCTGCTCCTTGGAGGGATGACTGCGACCATTACACGCCATTTGATCCCAGTCACCAGTTTACATGATATGGCCTGCTGGGCCTCCACATTTGCCTGATGCTCCCCAAGGCGCTAATGCAGGTGTATTTCACGGGAGCCATTGCAATGCAGTGAATCTCTCCTTTACACATAAGTGTGTGTGTGAGGGAGTGTGTTTGAGCCAGAGCACCTGGCCTACTTTCCTATGGCACAGCACGTTAGAAACGTAACATGTTCCTGTGTGGCAGAGGTAACTGTCACATGCTGTAAAACTTTGACCTATTTTTGCCACATCCAAGCATTTGCTAACCCTTCAATAAACTGGATCATTTATATATTTTCAATAAAATAGGGTAAAATGAATATGTCCTACTTTGGGGGGGGGGGCATTGTTTGTACTATTGACATCATGCGGCTAACCCTACATTATTAACAGGTAAAATGCTAACCGCAATCACTGTTTTGGTTTAGCTCGTTAGCGTGCTAATATTTGCAAATGTGGGGGAAGGTACTTATTCATCAGCCTTGTGGTAAAATAGGAAAAGTCCAGGGATACCAAAGGACGTAGTATTCATCCCCTGACGATCATTGATTTGTGTTTGAAGGTTCACGGCAATAAATCCAATAGTTGTTGAGGTACCAAGATGATGGTCTGACCAACACTGCAATGTTTATAGCAATGAAGCTAGTTTGGCAAATCTAAACTGTCAAACAGCAAATGTTTAGATCAGCAGTAATTCACGCAGTAATTGAATCACTTCAATGAAAAGGACATGAACTCATATGAAAATGTTTGGAAATATGACTTTAATTCAATCATCTCAAGGATGGGTTTGTTCCTTCCGAGCAGAACATTCAGTGCAAAAAGCACAGCACATAAATCTGGGACACACAGTGGCCCTAGGATGGAAACAATTATTCAAATCTGAAAAAAGAGAATCATTTTTTGTTGCGCTGCTACAAATCTTGACCTTTTAGAGGTTCTCTTTGGTTGTATGGACATATATTTTGTTTCATTATTTGCTAAGAGGCAAGGCTCAAAGAAATCTAAAATGCTTGTTCCTGTGTACATGTGGACCAGCAGCTCCCAGTGTAAACCATTAAGATTCTTCAATTTTGATCGGCTAATGTCTGCCTGCCTACACCAGGTCAGCTGTCTGCTAGATCTTAACTTTCATTTAACTTTGCTATGGGATTTGTGTAGGTGCTTAACCTTTGACAACAAACTTGTCTTAGAGCTGTGACACCACTAACAGCAGAAAACTGCTCCCAACTCTGCAGTAATAACACCCTCGGGATTTCTTAGCGCCTTTCCTTCTCTGTCAACACTCAGCAGCTGCCAGCATGGCTCAAATATCTATCAGCTACCAGCATGGACACACTGCTAAGGCTGCAGCACTGCAATAAGAACCAAAGCTGACTGGTCAGCTAGTACAGTGCCATAACAGGCCCTCAAATGCAGTAAAATGATACAATCAGTTTGGATCGGTTTTCCTTGACCCTTGTGGTTGTCATAACTATCTCGTGTTCAGCACCAGATACTCATTAGGTCATACCTCGTAACAAAAACCTATTGAAAGTGATGAAGCCTTTTTGAAGGCAATGGAAAGACCATATGGTCCTAATAAATAGTTTTGGTGACTAGATACTTACAGGAGGAAAGCTGATCCGCTGCACGGTGGACCGAAACATCACATGCCTGAAATAAGAGAGAGAGGGGGGGGGGGGGGGAGAGAAGAAAAGAATAAGGCCATGCATGATCAGAGGCAGAGAAAATGAGAGAGCAAGTTGGCGATTGCTCCTCCATCTTGGTGCTGTGATGAGATGAGAGAGGGAAGGAGAAGTTGTGTGAGGGGGAAGGATTCAACCATCAAGGGATGATTCATGGGTTGTCTCCTCCGCTGTGATCTGAGAGTTAAAGAGAAGCTGTTTGTCGAGTGCTTACTTGCAGGGAATCTTCTCCACTGGTTTCGCTGTCACATCGTAGTCGCACGGTGAAGTGTTTATATGCTGGCACAAGGAATAAAGATAAAGAAGTGTTTAAATATCTGTGACAGTATCAGCAGGAGTTCTTTTTTTCCGTCTGTTGTGTTGCATCGCCAACAGCTGGCTTGTATTTCAAACACATCTTCTGTTTTCAGATATTCTGGTGAAGGGGCACATTTCTAAGAGCACCTTCTGTACTGTGATGATGTGTTAATAAGTCAACTGCACCCATAACGGCCCAGTGTGTAGGAGTTAAGGGGATCTATTGGCAGAAATTGAATATATAATTCATAACAATATTCTCATTGGTTTATAATGACCTGAAACGGAGAATTGTTGTGTTTTACTTAGCCTATAATGTGGTCTTCCTATCTACATAGGAATTGGATGCCATAGTGTAGCTGTATAAAGAGAACTGGATACAACATTGGAGGAGGGTCGCATTCATTTCTATGTAGTTGCTCAGTGGCGCATGACGCCGAAATGGCTCGACTTTCGAGTATATAATTACCCGCATCTTCTGCATCTTTGGACCTATAGAGCAACATAACTCATGTTTCTTTTAATCTCACTTGGTTACAAGAAACTACAGTTCATTATGCCTGAGGAAGTTACTCTGGATTTGACTATTAATGGGTTTCACAACTTTGAGGACCCTACGATTTCATTCAAGTGTACATACTTGAAATTGTATTTACCTTAAGAGATATACAGTATATCCACTAAATAAGAGATGCCTCATTCATGATGTAAGTCCACGGGAAAAAGTATTTTAAGGCAAAATGGCCCAAACACTAGCTCTAGAAAGATGTGGGGTATTCCGTTGGATGCAACCTTTACTGTTACCACTAGGCTGGTTACTACACTTGCAGATGACACAAAATGTTCTAGGTCCAAGAGGTGATCAGCTTAGCTTAGCATTAAAGAATGTATGCAGCATGAAATCACTAACTTGACGCTAAAGTTGAAAACCACAAGATAAACATACCTATTAACAATAGCAGACATTTTATTCTCATAAAGAAAGTAACTATTCCTCAAATATGTGGTCAGTTACATAAGCCAACAGACTAGTAAAGTCATGTCTAAAGCCCACCTTGTCCCTGATGCCCAGGGTGACGATGTTGGGCCGCGGACAGTTTTTGAAAGAGTAGGAAGCCTTGTTCTTCAGGACCTCCTGGATGGAGTCTATGTAGTCATACGCCCCGGGGAGAAGCAAATCCCCCTTACGTACGCCCAGAGTGGGGGCTTCCCTGCCCACGCCTTTGAACCTGTAGGTCTTTCTCACAGGGTTCAGTTCAGCTTCTTCAAGGAAATCACGGATGTGGTAGAGACCTGGGATAGGTGTGTCCTGGAAGAAGGAGAGAGGAGGAAGGGGCCTGGTGCCTTAGGGTGAGGGTTAGGTGCCCGGATAGACATTTTACTGTATTCATAGCAAAAGCCAAATTCCAGATTTAGCAACTGAAACATTTAGCCTGACATCACCAGACCAAAATGACCAAACACCACAAATTAGTCTGGAATTTATTGGTGTTATTCCAATTTGCAAAGGGCATTATCAACGGGATATGAACATGTGATGTACCATTGAGCAACCAGTGACCAGGCCCGCCAGGTGTAGATGGCCAATCAGCAAAGCACATTAGAGCTCTGCTTAAGGGCCAAGTGTGGAGTGTGACTGGTACTTTGATCGCCACTCTTCCTGGTGTGGTATATACTGTGTAACGGCCCGTCCACACGGCGGCGTGCGTTGAAGCTTCAGCGCTTCTGCCTATTCACTTTGAATGGGGCGATGTCACGCTTTGCCGAACTGTATTGTGGGAGCGTTGCTTCGCTTTGCTCGCGTTGCTCGCTTCAAAAGTTGAGCAATGTTCAACTTTTGAAGCTTCGGCGGAAGCGTCAGCCAATCAAATCATATGCCAGTACAAGCTCTAGCCAATCAAACCGCGTGCTTGTGTGTCCGGGGCGGGAGATTCATGTGATTGGTTGTTGGTCGAGCTTCAGACACGCCCGCCGGCAAGCTTCAACGCACGCCGCCGTGTGGACGCTGCGTAATAGCTGCCCACTCTAGACTAGCATGGGTTGAATACTGAGTATAAATGTCACTGTGTTCACAAGTCAAAAGTTTATTTATTCTCATCCTTCATTTCTGTTGATTCAATTTTTTGCAAGGTGGCTGGAAAAAAACCAACACCAGAGCATCAGATAAAATGAAAACAGACTACAGCATTCAGAGATTAGCTGGTATACTATTTGTTTAAACACTTTAAGAGGTGTTACTTGTTCTTCTTTAAAGCAAAATGTTAATTCCAGTTTGCTCAATACTGACACAATAGGTGCAGCCATCTTTGTTTGTTTTTTTGGAAAATGCCTCAACAGTGCTCCTTCGTGTGCTCCTCGTCTCAAACAGGCCTCATATTAGAAAATAAGTTGTGATTTGCCCGGCATGTCTGCTGGTTCCCAGCCAATGGAGACCTGGCACAAGTAGTGTCTATGAGGGTATGTTTCATTTTGAATTTCCCATTACAACACAATTGTTATTTCCAATCATAATTTTAAAATGCATATTCATTTTGCAATGATCTTGGGAATGGTACAAAATGTAAACTATGGCATTTCATATTGAAATGCCTATTTTTATAAATGGAGTAAAGGTAAATGTAGTTTACTGTAAATGTAAAGCAATCAATCTATACTGACTGTACATATACAAAGATTTAGTTTCAAACCACCTGATCTAGCCAGCTCACATTATGATAAACTGATCATTAATTTATTAAGTTTTATTACCACCAATGCACTGTAAGGCACTTTGATTCACTGTAGTGTAAGTGTTCATAAATGTATGTCTGGTAGACAGCCTTTATTGGACACTCACAATGCATTAAAAGCCATTAACACAACATTTACTGTATGAGCTAATGATCCAGTTGTTTTTGCCTGTACAGTGTGGACAGTCTTTGAAACCACACTGCAGCATGACACCTACTTTCAGTGCTCCCAGCCACCAGCTCCCCCGGCCACACGGGTCCAGCTTGTCATCGGCCTGCAGATAAGAACAGGACACAAGCCAAAACACAGGAGATTGTTTCTGCTTTCATGACATTGCTATACCAACAATGTGTTGATGCATCTCCACCGGTGTCATCTAATGTCTTCGCAGTTTAGCTTGTTCTCATTAACCACACAGAGTTATGAGGGCTTTAAAGAACCTTACCTTATCTGGTCTATTACCACTCCTGGACATGTCACTGAGTTTAGAGACAGCTTTGTTTTTCCATGAGTCCTGCACTGTACTCATTGTCGCTCACTATCTGCTCCACAGGAGATCTAGTGACACCTGACCACCATTAAAACTGCGACTCGCTGTTACTATAGCAGCGACTCCACTATCGATCAATTTTTCAACAAGCTGGCTTGCTGGAGGCTAAATTTAGACTCACCGCCGTCCAGTTAGACAGAGTAAGACACAATGGTAAGCCAGGACCAAGGCTTGTACCCGACATGCACGTTGTTACTTTGTCCTCATTATCATTGTCCACCATCATGTGATATTTAGATGGATAATGTCATAGTCATTAGAATATACAGAACAAAAGTTGCCATAACAGTGCAAATTACAATCCAGTACAAGGCAAAACATGACTACATGGCAATTCTATCCCATGTTGGTAAAACTTTACAATAAGGTACACAAATGTGCTTAGTTACTGAGTAGTGAATAAGGAACGACTAGATAGTTAATGGTGAGTTCCTGAGTGACTGCGATTGAAGAACTGATGGTTAGTTACTGGTAAACAGAATGGGGGGTACTGTATTAATGAATCCTTCGTTAATGGTTAGTTAATGAGGAGTTCCTGGGTGACTTTTACCCCGGGATTCCACCGGGTCCGTCTGTGCCGCGTTACGGCTGCGCCGAGGTTTTGTTCCGACCTCCTACAGCGTCAAACCCCACCGGGCGCGTTTCAGAAGCGGAGCGTCTTGCGTGCCGGCTCGCAGTTTTTGTTGATTTGGGCATATTTCCTGGACAGGCTACTTTGTACAGACAAATTTAATAATAATTTCAATAATCCAGTTATAAACGACATGAATCAAAGATATGTTGCTGTATTTTAGTGGTAAAAAAAATGCATTCATCATCATAATTATTCTATAAATATAATTTACACAGTGCCTGTAAACCGGAGGAGAACGCTGGCATTTATTTTACTTGAAAGACTACGGAGGGATAGGGTCTGCAAAATTAGTTTATTTTGGGGATTGACTGGATGCTCTGACCGGTCCACTTCCTGCCCGGCGCTATGCAACGCCTCGCGTCTCGCGTCGAAAATAGACCAGCCGCGTATTTTTTGCGGAGCCCAGCGCCAAGACGCTTCTGGGACGCTTCTAGCCGTAACGCGGCGCGTCTGGTAGAATAACACCCATTGACTAGAGTGGCCGCGATCGCTGTGAACGCCGCCGCGCAGACGGACCCGGTGGAATACAGGGGTGAAGCAATAGAGTGCCACAGTGACGCGTCCTAAAACCCGGAAATAAACTCCTTCCGGTTCCTTCGACAATATTTATAATTTTCTAATCATAAATCTATCGATTCGATTTATGATTAGAAAATTATAAAAGTAGGGTAGACATGTGGATATTATCCGGCTGAACAAAACGTGATCTGTCTCTTCAATTTGTGTCAACCACAGACCTTATTTCGAGCTATTTTCCAAAATCCTATGGAGAAATTGCATTGGTTTTTGTCGAAGGAACCGGAAGTGGTAAAATGCTAACTTACTTCCAGGTTTTAGGACGCGTCACTGTGGCACTCTATGGTCCGCTGCAGCAGGGCTCTTTTAAACCTGCCATCTTCGGCTGTCTTGGGTCCCACACTGGATCGACTGGTGGAGGGGGATCCGACTCACGTGTTACTGCTTAAGTCATCATTACTTACCTCACCATTAGGCAGTTTGGGTACCGTAAACTCAAGTAACGCATCAAAAAGAGTAGTTACCTAATGATTTCTTCACCATTATCTTATCATTAGTTAAGCAGTTTAACAAACAAAAACTGTTGATGACAATGACGGATCTACAGCCACTCAAGTTTACATTTGAATTGAAACAACTTTTTAAACGTTTTGAAAAAAGTCATATATGATTATATACTGTTTACATGAGGAACATAAAAAAAGAAAAGAAAAAATGTGTCCATCCATCCCACAACATCCTGGAAAGTTACGTGACGCATCCTCCCCATGGATGTATAATAAGAACAAGATCCTTAATAAGAAGTTAATAAGATCTATTATAAGAAGTATAATAAGAATAAGATCCTCCCAGTTGCCGTGACTGTTTTCTTCTTCGGTGGTACAGCAGTTTTCAGTTGTCACGATTGTATACAGTGCCATATTGGCCGGAAATTGAACGCAGTCAGACAAAATTCAATAAATAAATCGCTTCGGAGTATAAGTTGCAGGATACAGCCGGACAGGTAAAAAAAACGCGACTAATAGTCCGGAAAATATGGTGTCTTTGAGTCATCAAATATAATACAAACATACCTGAGGACAACAAACACACAAGGTCCTTTAACATCCACGTTGCACGTCACATCCCTACATAAACCGAAGACAGGAAACTCAGTACCCCCAAGTCTGTTAACCAGTAACTAACCATCAGTTCTTCAATCAAAGTAACTCATAACTAACCATTAATGAATCCTTCATTAATACAGTACCCCCCAGTCTGTTTACCAGTAACTAACCATCAGTTCTTCAATCGCAGTCACTCAGGAACTCCTCATTAACTAACCATTAACTATCTAGTCGTTCCTTATTCACTACTCAGTAACTAAGCACATTTGTGTACCTTATTGTAAAGTGTTACCCAAATGTCTTTTAGAGCCAAGGATGGTAGCAAGCACTGGTTTCCAATACAATCTGAGGACCAATCAAATGAGAACTATTATAATTATGCAACTTTTCCATACTTTGATGTTAAACAAGGTAATGATAACTATTATTTTGAACATCGGCGTCTTTTGAGGAATGTTTCCCCATACAGTGCAGGTGCTTGGATATATTAACTAAATGGGGGGGGGGGGGTGCTAGTGACTTATCCGACCGGCCCACATCGTCCGACCGGCCCACTTCAGTACCGGCCCATCGGGATTCGTCCCGATGGCCAGTCCGCCCCTGCACAGGGACCAACAATTTCAGTGGCACTAAATATCTCAGAGACACGTGACAACCAGAAAGACACTCAAAATGACCCACACAAAAAGACTAGAAAAAGACGCCAAAAAGACTAAGAAGAAATGCATAACAGCTGCAAAGATACTCAAAGACTCTCACAAAGACTATTAAAGGGGAAAACGCACCACAGACATAAATGATTACAAAAAGACACAAAGCAACTACAAAGATATTCAAAATGACACAAAATAACTACAAAGACACAGACATTCAAAGGGGCAAAACAACCACAGCAAATATAACTACAAAAGGACCAAAGAAATTATGAAGTGATACAAAATAAATGTCCATCAAGAGACAAAGAATGACTACAAGGGGACTCAAAACAACAACAAAAACAGGCTAAACAACTTTTATGTCTGTGCCTTGTTCTTACATTGTACAGGTGGCGGGGCCTTCTGTGTGTTTGTGCCCAGGGGCCCATTGTGTTATAATCCGCCCCTGGATGCTATTTATGAAGAGTGGCTCCTTGAATTGAGGCAATTAAGGTACACTGCAGGTTTTTTAAAGTACAATAGAAATGTCAAACTAATCCTCTTATTTTAGTATCTAACCTCTTGGCTGAAGTGCACACACACACACACCCTTTATATATCAGTAGGCTACATCAGAAGTAAAGAGCATCACCTGAAGTAAAAATCTCGCTCTGGGAGCAAAAGCTCAACATAAAGCCTTGTTGCTAGGCTACATAGTACACATGGTTCAAATTAAACAAGAATTTATGTTTACACTGCTTGTCAAGGAGAGTATATGAAGGGACAATAAAACACACATAGGCTGCTGTCTGATCCAGGAAACATCACCTTTGTATCCTACCTGATGCACATTCACACCCAATTAGGAAAAGCAGAGAGAGCCAGGACTCACGTTGCATGTGCTATGTAATTAACAGCTCTTTATAAGTAGACTGTGATGACACTTCAGCAGGGAGTTTTTTTTAAGTCGTGCGATATTTCATTTTGACAAGATGAGAACAACTCATGTCATCATTTCACACCTGAAGTTGTTTGGATCGTGGTGTTCATTCTTTTTGGAACTCAAGCTGTTGCTACGCAGATAGAGATATTGTACTAGCTACACAAAGAAGATTGAACAAAATCTTCTCAGGGGTACTATAAATTACATCAGTGTTTTTTGGTGCGAGCTATTGCTAAAGTAGCATTTGTAAGGCCCTAAATGTTTGAATGAGCCTCCACAGGGACCACTGCACATGCATGACTGACCAAGCCAAAAACAACTGCAGTACTTACTACTCCCAATAGAGAGAAAAATCACAAAACTCTAATACTTTCCCCCCCCCCCTAGTTTAGTATTACTTAAGTCTTCGTAATGCCACTGTATAGGATCAAGGGCACGAACTAAAATCAGCTAGCATAGAATTCACACACACGAGGCAGAGCTGAGGTCCACAATAGAGCTTTATTTTGTCATTCATCAAAATAACAAACTTAGTATCTCTGCAAGCTACTGTAACAAACTCAATAATCAGAAATTAAACAAAAAAACAAACAGGTACACCTCTATTTACAGCATGATCTCTGATGTACGCTCAATCACCTGCACCTCGGGAGTGGGGGCAAATGCCAAGTAAGACATGAGGCAGTCAGCTTCTACATGGTGCTGTGCCAACAGTAGCAGACAACACATGGCCTATGTAGTCAGTGTGGGACCCGGACAGTACAAGGCTAATCCAATGTCGAGTACCATTGTGTGCACTTCAAAATAGAAGCCTTTGATCCCACTCAGTGCTTTTATTTTAATGACAATACAGATTTGAGCTGAGCTTATCTGAACATTAAGAGGCATTGGCTGATGCTCCTCAGTGCTTTTGGAAATTAACAGGGGACACTTAATTTAAAAATGGTAAACATTTCATATGTATTCTAAGCAACAAGAAAAAAATATTCTATCAAAAACGGAGCATCCTGTCCTCAATACAAAAATGGGAATTATTACAGGGTATACAAACTCAATGATCCATTATAACTGAGAAAACAAGACAATTTTCAAAACTGGGTAGATTGTAATTTTTATTGGAAAACAAAAATATACAACTTGGAATG